TTAATTAATTATTTTATCATAAAAATTTTATTTATTTTATTTAAACAAACAAATATATGACAATTATTTTTAATTTTTAATTTAAAAATAAAAATAATTATTATTTAAAAAATAAATAATATTTAAAGAGATATATCTATTAATAAATACCGTATATTATAAATTGAGAATTTTAAATTTTAATTATAAAATGAGTGAAAAGTCATTGGAGAATGGGAAGGGCTTAGTCACCGGATAAACCAGCCCTCACTCGGATAGATTAACTTTGCACAAGACTTTGCTTTTGTTCCACCTCCATCCCTGCCATGGCCCATGGCTGGATCTGCTAGGGGCATCCTCTAGTAAATTGATTGGCGGGCTTAAAAGATGCAAAATGCATACATTGTCTTCAAGCTATCTTTAGAGTTGAAATCCTTAATCCTTGATTAAAAATTGATGCACTCAAAATTTGTTCAGCCCCAAAATTCTTGATCGTTCACTTTGCATTCAAAACATTGCATTGCTTATAACTCACTCTATCTGCCTTTGATCCTTTTTTGCAGCTTGTAATTTATCAATAAGAAGCGACTCATTAGACTACCCGTTACTTGTTACTAATGGCTCCTATGTCATTACTGCCGATGCCTGTGTCAAGTGCAACTGTGATTCTGCTAAAAACTGGACGTAAGTGTCCCTTCAATGGCGCATTACCTTAATACTAAAGGTTGTCTTTCGTTATGGTAAATTCTAATTTATATGATTATGCAAATCCATGCATACTTCTGTCTTCAGATTACAATGTCAGCCTTCCCAGCTCCAACCAATCAAGCGAAAGATGTGCCCTCCAATGCAGTGTGAAGCATCAAGAGGTCTACTCATTGGCAACATGACTTCTTTAAGCACCTGCAATCGCTCAACTTGTGCCTACGCTGGCTATAACAACCAAACCATCTTCACATCCCTTACTGTGGAGTCTACATGTTCACGTAAGTTGAATATCGCAACTCTAAGGACCATAATATGTTCTTGTGGCCAATAACTATTAGGCAGTATCAACAGATACAAAGTAATGGTGAAGCCCTAGCCCACTGTGTGTTCTAATATATATACATCTACTATTTGTTTTGGGAAGAGTTGATTCTTTTTAAACTATTTCAAATCTCATTGTATTCAAATAAGCTTCTTTCTTCGATATTTCTATTGATGGATTTTAGTTGTCTCAGACATAGATGCTTCAGTTGCTCTCTTCTATTAGTACCAGAAATGATGACACCATTTCTTTTCCTTTTTGTAGCAGGCAAATGGAAGCTTAAACTAATTATAGGTACTATATTATTATTTTGTCCAACATCTTATATCCACATTTAGATTAATTGACTTCATCTACATTAATATTTATGAAGCAGGATTGGCAGTATCTGCAGCCACCACTTCAGCAATCATTTTCATAGTGCTGCTCTTCACGCTCAAAACAAAACTATTAACAAATTTGAAGTCTCTAAACTTCCATCTAACAATCAAGAACGATGAAAGGGTTGAGGCATTCTTTCTTAAGTATGGTTCGCTTGCTCCCAAGAAATTTTCCTATTCAGACATCAGGAAAATAACCAAATCATTCAATGATAAATTAGGTCACGGAGGATATGGCAGTGTATATAAAGGAGAATTACCTGATGGCAGTATTGTGGCAGTGAAAGTACTCAGCAAATCCATAGGGGATGGACAGGATTTCATCAATGAAGTTGCCAGCATTAGTAGAACCTCCCATGTCAATATTGTTACCCTATTGGGGTTCTGTTATGAGAGGTCAAAAAGAGCTTTGATTTATGAATTCATGCCCAATGGATCCCTAGATAAGTTCATTTATAATCAAGGATCTCCAGAGAGCCAACAGCTTGCAATTAAGACCTTGTATGAGATAGCATTAGGCATTGCTCGAGGACTAGAATACTTGCATCGAGGTTGTACCACAAGGATTTTACACTTAGACATAAAACCACAAAACATCCTCTTAGATGCAAGCTTCAATCCTAAGATCTCTGATTTTGGTCTTGCTAAATTATGTGATACAAGAGACAGTATTGTTTCAATGACGCGCGGGGGCCAGAGGAACTTGCGGATATATTGCTCCAGAGGTATTTTGTCAAAACTTTGGAGGAGTATCTTACAAGTCCGATGTGTATAGCTATGGCATGATGGTGTTGGAAATGATTGGGGGAAGAAAGAAAGTTAATGTGGAAGTGTCTCACACCAGTGAAATATATTTTCCATCTTGGCTGTATAAGCAGCTTGAAAAGCCCGAGAAATTGAATCTAGACCGAGTCATAGCTGAAGAGGAAGAAGAAATAACAAGAAAGATGATAATAGTGAGCCTTTGGTGCATCCAAACATTTCCATCAAACAGACCCTCAATGAGTAGGGTGGTAGAGATGTTGCAAGGAAGCCTTGAAGCTTTGCCAATTCCACCCCAAGACTGCTCCACCACATCATCATCATCATCCTCAAATCCATCCATAATGCAGGTTAACTCATACTCTTCAACTTCAGACTTTGTTTAGTTAAAATCATTGTTAACAATTTGGTCTTCAATTTCTTTCTAATTTTAACAACTTGTTTGAGACGAAATGCTGTGGGTTTCGGAGCACCTTTGAGATCAACTTCACTATTTGGTACCTACTGTGTAATCTCCAATCATAAATTAAAAGGCTTTGTTGTAGTGCGTTTGACTTCTTTTTCTAATGGAGTGTTCAAGATATGATTTATCTATTTGTTCATATGGATGATCATGTGTTGAAGATAAATGGAACAGTGCAGCAAGGTGACTCTGTTCATGTGCACTGTTCATGTCCAGTTGAGTTTCATCAATTGGTTGAGAAGTTTTTTGTTTGGTTTTCACTGTAATTCTCATGTTCATTGATGTTAAATATTTCCATCAAATGTATGATTTGGCTTTAATTGTATCCAAGTAACATGTTCATTGCTTTAAGGGGTTTATATTATTATTCAAATATATTAAATGAACACTATAAATAACTAGTGTTGTTTTATATAAAAATATATCAAAATTGATTAAAAAAATGTTTGAAAAATCAATGAAAAAATCTAAGCATCATCTTTAGCACCTTTTATGTTACTTTTTTTTTTTTTAACATGTTTCTCAAGATCCAAACTACAACATTCTTTCTTTGTGAATGTTGTAGTTTATACCAAAAAAAAAGAAAAACACCCTCAATTTGTCATGTGAATCTCTAGTTAACAAACTGACTTGATATTCTTTCTTTGTGCAGATCCAAACTACAACATTAATTGGCAATATAAGTGAAATAGATTTTTTTAAAATTTAATTTATGTTCTTCTTTATTATTTTTCTAAAACCTAAAGTAATCGGAGTCGGAGTGGCGCAACA